TGAACCCAGCGGTGTTTTTTTGCAAACTGAGCGCGACCTGCAGAGAAGGGCAGCAGCAGGGCTGTCTGCCTTGACACCTGCCTTTGGGGAGCCCATCTCATCTCTAGCATACTGGCTAAGCCAGGATCCTCCAACACGAGAAAGAAGGAGGAGGAGATCTCACCCGTTCCTCTGGCAAGGTTCTGGGTGCGGGAGACAGCAACGGGCCTGTCGGGAGGAGGAGCTGGAGAATGACGGGCTGGGACATGACTGGTAATGGGTGAGGTATGCTAAATCCAAGTGCTGGACTGGATCCGGGGGAGAGGGGTCATATCTTCTGTGTTTTTTTGCAGGAAACACAACCAGTGACAAGACAGAAGGCAGGAAGAAAGGGCGGCCCAAGGCAGAGAACCAGGCGCTCAAAGACATCCCAGTAAGCACCCCCAGTCCCCCCCTCACACTGGGAGTTGTTCCCTCCTCTCTCCCTTACCCATCCAGCTCTCTGCAAAGCACCTATTAAAGCGCAAGCCCACACACAAACCCCAGGAGCCGTTGTGGGAGCTCTTGTGCCCGTTGGGTCCGCTCAGCTGCTGCAAGAAAGGCAGGGCTGTGTCTGTGCATGTGCCCCAGAGATGAGGACGTTGCAGGGACTGAGTCCACTTAAAGCAACTCGTCTCCCCTCAGACAGCTGCCCCGAACCGTGGGTGAGCTGTTGATGCAGTGAGATGAGCCCTGCTCAGGGCTGAGTGGTCCTGCATGCCCCTAGACATGCGGGGCACCCACGAGCTCATGACCCAGGGATGCTCTAGCACCCCCATTGCACAGGTGAATAGGGCTCGGCATTTACTTCTGTCACTGTCTGTACAATTGGGTTCATGCCCTTTGGAAAACCGAGTGCAATGTGTGTGTGTTTATATGTATGTATGTGTATATGTATATATGTGTATGTGCAATATGTATGCACGTCTGTGTGTGTGTTTATATGTATGTATACGTATATGTGTGTATATAAATATATATATATAATGTGTGTGTGTGTGTCTATATATGCTTGTGGGGGTGATGCTGACGGGTGGAACAGATGCTTTTTTTATTCATGGGGATGATGCTGGGTCTGGCTATGGGCTCCATCACCAGGGGGATTGCCGGGTGAGGATTTGATCAGTGCCAGGACAGGAGACGGAGTTAATGATTGAGACTGTGGGCAGCGAGTGGTTTGAGTGGCCAGCGGGAGATGCCCTTGAGGGGCGCGATTGCCAAAGCAAGCCCTGGGCACTTTCTTAGCCCTTGTTCAGCTGCCTCCAGACCGTCGTGCCGTGAAGGTGGGATCTCAGCGTATTTTGCCTGCCAACGTTGCCCTTCCCCTGCGATGGTCCCGGCTACCGGTCTGTTCGTCACCAGATTCGGTTTCGTGCCCGGGACGCTGCCCGGGGCGGTGGTGATGTCTCCCCGGGGGAAACGGAACGGTTTGATTTCAGCACCGTGGCACGGACAGCACTCAGAGCCGGTTGTCACCGGAGGAGGATGCCGGGCAATTTACTGGCGAGATGAAATGTGGGGCAGTTAAATCACGGAGCTGACTTGCGGGGTGATTTATGCCACCAGCCGGGCCAGAAAGCACTTCATTTGCAGTGAGGGAAATTCCCCGGAGGACTGAGAGGCGAGCTACGACTCCATCATCGTGCCATCATGGCCAAGGCACCGAGCTGAGCCCTAGTACCATGCCGCAGGGGGTGGAATCGGGGCCCGACGGGCTCCAAGGCACCTATTCAACTGCATCTGCCTTGTCTCCTCTTCCCAGCTGACCCTGATGAACCAGTGGAAGGACGAGTTCAAGGCCCACTCCAGGGTGAAGTGCCCCAATTCAGGCTGCTGGCTGGAGTTCCCCAGCATCTATGGCCTCAAGTACCACTACCAGCGCTGCCAAGGGGTAAGAAGGACAGAGGTTTGTGTTTGATTTTGCTGATCCTTCTGCTTTGCCGGGCCCCTTTTCCCTTCTCACAGACCCTCGTGGGTGGATGATATCAATGCAACGGCCAAATTGCACAAGTGTCCTGGGTCATCTTAGGCACCTTCCCCTAACTTGTCTCCAGCCCTGTCTTGAATTCCCATCTCTCTCCAGTGCCACTGCCTGGGGAAAGCTGCACTTCCCCTGGCCCAGCTACCAGCATCTCTCCCCGTAACTGTGCAGGCTCAGCCAGCTGTCGGAGGGGACTTCTCCAGAGGGCTTTCCCTCTCCCAGCCTGACGGTAATGGCCCCTGCACTTTTGACTACCAGTGATTTCCTATTCACTGAAGCTCTGTAACTGGCTGGCTTTTACTTTTGGGCTGATCTCAGGAAGAACATGGAGGAGTGGCTGAGTCCTTATCAGGACAAGGGCAAGGGGTCCCAGTTAGGTCAAGCGTAGTGAACACATGCCAGACCCTGACTTGATCTTTGCCCCGATGGAGACACAGGGTCACACTGCTACCTCAGTGCAGCTGCTTGGGCTGTAGTTTTGTCAGGGCTGGACCTTGACCCCATAAACCACGCTGCAGATGACCAAGTGCAAGCCAGGCTTGGCATGGGGGAGCCACACCTGATCTACCCTGGGCCCTTTTCCCCCTGTCAACACAAAGCCGTCTGGATCCTGCAAATATCAGCACCTTCTTGGAAACTCCTTGGAGATGCACAGGAAAATCATGGAGTGCCCTGGTTGTTTCACAACCAACTTATCGGGGGCGTTTCACCAGTGCTCTCTGCAGCTCATCTAGAGGGAACCAAAGGCGTTTTCCACGACTTTTTTTCTCCCATCCTTGTATGAATCCCCTTGTCTTTTCTGTCCCCTCAGCAGCTTAGCAAATGTGCTGCTCAGCAATGGATGGAGAGAGCCACAGCTCCAGAAATCTTAAATGATCTGGACTTTTTAAACCATAAAACCCAAAGCTCCTGCTGTAGAAACATGATTGGAGCTACTGTGGGAAAAATACCAATAGTTTGAGAAAGAGAAAAAAAATCCTCATTTCAGTAGAATTTCCCATCTCCAGAAAAGCTGGGGGGTTTTGGCAGCCCCCTTCATCTAAGTGGCCGCATCTGTATACACACGAGTGCAGACATCCACTCCCGGAGCAGGCGATCTCACCTCCGACGAGAGAACTGCATAATCTCCAAACACCCAGGGGTGGGTGGCAGGGAGGGGAGGAGGGTGCGGGCGATGTGCTGGGAGATGTATAATAGATGTTACCCTGACGGGATCGGGATGCTCCTGTCGATGCACGCGGTGCTGAAGGTGCTTCGTTACAGCGGGTGGATGGCGATTGAGCTCGTGATGGTTTCTGCTGCAGCCATGCCCAGGTTGCACCAGGCACTTTGCAAACAAGCAGGCGGGCACAACCCATGCCCTGGACTGTTTTAACACCTTGAAAGGCCCCTTTTCTCTCCGAGCTCATGCATTGTTCCCCAGGCAGGCACCCAATGGGCTGTTCTATCGTAGACATCATAGAAAAGGGTCGTCAGGTGGCTTCTATTTAATTTGAACCGTAAGTGCTCAAATTTGACGAAGCTTTACCGGCTCCCCTCAGACAGAGGGGAAGCAGAGAGGCCGTTTAAAAGCGTGGAATCCACATGCATTGAAAGGGGGGTGTCCGATTTATTAGCCCCTGCCTGCCGTGTTCGCTAGGCACAGTCCTTGCGCTGACAGCTCCCAGCCTCGCGTCCAAGGGCGTGGGTGGGGGGCAGCTCCAGAATGTGCCCGACTGCAGAGATCCCAGAAGTATGTTGTCCAGCCCCCTCCCACCTACCCGGGGGATTCATTTTGCTCCAAGCTTGCATGTGTGAATCTTCCCCTTCCCGCGTCTATGCACGTGTGACCCCCCTGCTGCCTTGCAGGGCGCCATCTCGGAGAAGCTGACCTACTCTTGCCCCTACTGCGAAGCTGCCTTCACGTCCAAAACCCAGCTGGAGAAGCACCGGCTATGGAACCACTTGGATCGGCCGGTCCCGGCCTGCAAAGCCGAAAACAAAGTGCAGAAGTCTCTCAGCAAGAGCAGTGGCAAGAAAAGGTACCGGCCGCGTGGTGTAGCTTCTGGGCCGTAGTTTTAGGGGAAGGCTGAGGAGAGAGAAAGGGAGATGCCCCCAGTTCCCTTCCTGCTGGGTTGGCAAAGGCGTCGGCAGCATTGGTTTGTGGACTCCGCTTTCAACGAGCCCTCTATGCTTTGCCCTAGACCTGCTGAGAGCTCAGATTCCCCAACCATCCATCCCAAACAGGCAAAGATGGAGAAGGCGGCTGCCCGGGAGCCCCCCGAAAACGGCGAGTGTTTGGTGGCGGGCCGCAGGAGCAAGGAGTTCCAGATCGCGGCGGCGGAGGCGGTGGCTGCAGCCACCCCGACGGGCAAGTCTTCGAGCTGCAAGGACCCCAAGCAGCAGGGAGGTCAGGCAGCCCTCCAGGAGGAGGACCCCGAGAGGATGAAGCACAGTAAGAGTAGAGCCCAGGGCTACTCAGCTTCATGCACCCAGAGATGGGGGGTCGTGCACAGGTGCAGAGCAAATGTCTCGCCTCCATTAGTCCAGCGTCAATGGACAGTAACCCCAATGAACCCCAGAAAAATCATTCTGCAGGGCTGAAAGAGCAGAGCCAAGCAGACTTCCCTACCCCAGCTGCTATTTTGTGGGGGGTAAAGTGCCCTGAAGCAGAGCAGCTGAGGGATGCCCTTCCATCCCCGCTTCATCCCAGGAGGGTGTAAGCCTTCAGAGGGAAGCGGGGAAGCCAGTCCCTTCCTGCCCGCTTCCTGCCACGGGCTCCGCACTCTGCATGTGCTTCACTGTGCTCTTGCAATATAGTTATTTGACCAAATTTCTGTCTCTGTTTCTCTCTCTCGAGTCAGGAAGGAAACAGAAAACCCCTAAGAAATTTACCGGGGAGCAACCGTCCATCTCAGGGACGTTCGGACTGAAAGGTAACAGCGGCACCAGCCCTGTGTCCCAGCTTCTGCGAACCCGGGTATGCCCGATCCGTTCCTTCCCCGGGGGCTGCCAGAGCCCAGAGAGGCATTTTTATGAGTTGATCTCACAATAAGATCTCAACCACTGCCTGGGCTCGGTAATCCCCTCTGACTCAACGTGCCGGTGCGGGGCCGTGGGCCAGGCCAGAAGTGTGGGCACGTGTGGCTGCCACGTGTGGCCTTCCTAACTCCACCCCCAGATTCGCAAGCCCCCGCGAGCCTTCGTCAGTCTCAGGTGCCAGCAGGTAGTTGTCAGGTCACCGGTGGCACAAAAGAACCTGGTTTACAAACCATCGGGCCCAGAGATTGAAGAGTATTTCAGGCCCTTGTGCTCACAGACGCACGTTTCCCATCGCACGTGCGCTGTTCCTAGATGGGATTCTCCTGGCAGGTCTCGTGCAAAAATACCCTGCAAATCCTTGCACAAAAAATGTACGCGCCTCTCCAGCCTAAGATCCCGGACCAGAGCGTGCTTTTTGGCTTGTCTGCATTTCAGAGCTGTTGCTGCTATAGTTGCATCAGAGATGTCCCATGGCGCCTCCCTGAATGCTGTCAGCCCAGCTGGGAGAAGCCCTTTCCTGTCAACACAGCTGTTTCCAACTGCGCGGTTTGCTTGCTTAGCCACACCAGCAAGGGGATGCTGATGTAGCTCTGCTGGCAAAACTTACGAGTGCCAGCCGGACCTCGGTGCCAACAGCTCTTGCTGCCCTCGTCCGTGCCCCTGCTGCGTATTTATTCCAGCACCTCCTATTTCTGGGCCGGCGGGTCAGCCTGCTAACTGCACTCGCTGGGGTGGTTTCTGCATGCTCCCAACCGAGGGGCATCCCACGGTGCTGCTGCTTTTCTTATGATGACACTGGGGCCATGCCTTTGAGCCTTTGGCCCCCTGCCATGCATGGAGTGTGATCTCATCCTGCTCCCTTTCCTTGGGGGATTCGGCCCTAAAAGCCTCCCGCACAAAGCTTCAGCGATGGGAGAGCAGAGAAAAGCCGCTCTCGGGGTGCTCTGAGCAGTGAACCGGATGAGGGGGGGAAAATAGAAGCATGACTAGGGAGGAAGGTGAACTGCACCCCTTTCCCTCTGCCTGTGTGTGCAAGCAGGTTGCTGCCTGCTGATCCCTCTTCCACCCAGAGCAAAGGGGGATCTGTGTCTGGCACTCGCCCTCTCCCAGTCCCGCTGTCTCATAGCACCGGGGCCTGGGGCCAGAAAGGGCTGGGGGCTCCCCGGGTATCACAGCCCAGAACGGCGGCTGCCCTTGGCTTGGGTTCTTGGAGGAAACATCACTCCAGTACCTGATGCTTCTCAAGCCGCATCCTCTTTCAAGCTCATTTGGGCTCCAGGAAGACGCTTCCCACTCCCCAGCCTTCCCCCGTCATGATCAAGAGCTCCTCCTTGCCGACTCAAAGCCTTGCCCTGAAGCGGCGCGCCCTACCATCAGCTTCTGGGGCGTTTGTGCCTGTGGGTGACGGGGCTTTTGCCCAGGAAATGATGCTCACTCAGATTACTTTCTCTCCAACAGCTTCTCTCCAGTCCCGCTGTTGTAAACCGGGCACCGCTCCAGGTTCATCCTCCTGCATTTTAAAAACGCCCTCTCCCTCTTCAGGCCTCATAAAAGCTGAGGACAAAGCAAAAGCACATCGAGCCAAGAAGCTGGAGGGGAGCAGCAGCACGGACGAGCTGAAAAAGAAACCTCCAGGAGGCGGGAAAAAGGAGGCGGCTCCACACTTTCCAACAGGTCAGGCCAACGGAGAATGTGCTGAGCCCGGGCATGCGAGGATTCCCCGCTGCACGGAAACCGGGTCAGACAGAGGCCTGTCTGTCCTCTGGAAAGGCCCTTGCTGAAGTCAGTGAGATGGTGGCCTGAGCAAGAAGTGAGGAGGCATGAAATCCTAGAAAAGTGGGGCTGGAAGGGAGGTCACATCTAGTCCGACCCCCTGCCCAAGGCAGAATCAGCCCTATCGAAACTATCCTATATAAATCCATACTCTAAACTGTTAGCAAAACTACTGGCAGCCCTGACACAACGCAAGACATCACACCCCAACCTGCCATAAGTAAAAGGCGGACCACGGCAGCCAACGTCCTGCTGCTGCAAAAGGTTATTGATATACGCTCAAGATCCTAGGCAGGGGCCATGCCCCCCCACTACAGAGGAAGGCCACCCTCCCCCCAGTCCATCCCAGTCTGACCACAGGGTAGAATTCCTTTGTGACCCCAAAATATGGTAATCAGTGATCCTAAGTGGAGGGGCAAACCCGCTAGCCAGGAACCTCTGGCTTTTAAGTCCCAGCAAGGAGCACTGACACAGCCCAGTCTCCATCCCCACCCTGGGCTGCAGCCAACACTCAGTGCCCCCGAGGGACACGTGTAGCAGCAAGGGGGTAGAGGGTGGCGGGACCGTGCCCACCCTGCAAGTGTTCTCCACTTGTTGCATGGTTGAAACGCAGAAGTATTTAAACCCTTCAGAGCAGCTCTGGGCTCTGCTTGTGGACAGGCATCTCCGATGAGCTGGGGATGGTTAGATCAAGCTGTCAAGCAAGGTGGAAAAGTCCTCAGCAGACCTCGTGGGGGAGGAAGAAGGGCTCATGTAGTGCTCTCTCCCCTGATGGCGAAGCAGCTACCGATTCTCTCCTTCCCTTGGAGAAGGAGAATTGTCCCTTGGACAATTCAGAGCAGCCCTGAAACTTGGGGTTTTTTGCATGAGAGATTTTGCCCCCATCCATGCCTCCCAGCCCTCCCTGTTTCCTTCAGGCTCTGAGCTCTGGGAGGGCTGGTCTCTGCCTCTCTAGGGCCGGGCTCTCAGCCCTCGTTCTCCGTTTCTTCCCCTCGCAGTAAGCCCCGAGGAGCAGTGGCAGCGGGAGATCAATGAGAAAGGAGAAGTTGCCTGCCCCACCTGCGGCATCATAACCAGGAAAACCATCGTGGGCCTCAAAAAGCACATGGACGTCTGTCAGAAAGTAGGAGCCTGTCATGGTCGTTCGCTTTTGGGGCGAGGGGGGCCAGGTTTGCGCGCGCCAGGAGTAACATAACGGTGCTCCTGGACAACCTCAGGCTGCAGACGCCTGAGCATTTTCTGCCGGGCTTGGAGGGAGCTGGCTTCTCCCCCTCTTCCCAGCTGCTAAATGAATCAGTTCTGGAGCCCAACAAGCCCTCTGTCACCTCCTGCACAACCCAGGGGGTATAACCTCCCCGTGTGACCTGCTTCTATCAAGCCAGGTCGCCTTGTGCTTGAATGCAAGCCCGTCCCAGAGAGAAACGCCCAGGCTAGGCATGTTCCTTAGGTCTTTGGGGAAGCTGTAGGTCAATAATAGCCCAGTGATAAATGGTATCCCCGCTGCACTGCCATCCATCTTATGTCCTCATCCATCACCCGGCGTACTAGAAAGAAAGCATCTCTCCTAGAACGGCAACATAGGATCGATGCCTCCTGCCTTGAAAATATGTGTCTCAGCTTTGATTCCACATTCATTTCCCATAAATGCCACCTCCGCCTCGCATCAGCCTTTGAGAGGAGCAGGAGACCATTAGCCTGATAGTGGGTGACACCCGGCTCCATCAAAGCCCGTTGCGATGCTCACGTTGACTTCCGCGCAGCTGGGCTTTTGCCTGTTGGCTCTTAAATACATGTCGGGCTTTCTGAACACCATCGTAGGCCAGCGGGGAAAGCCAAAGGGCTGTGGGACCCACCAGCCTGCACAGGGTTCAAATTCCCTTGAGCATGGTGATGCCAGTCTCTCGCAGGGGAGCAGGCAGGTGGGTGTGCAGAGACGGTATCCAGACCCATTGATCAGGGAAGCTAAAGGATACTGGCACCTTGGGGCAGTGCAGAGCAGGATCTAATCTGGCTGATCTGCGGCATCATTTTGCAAGTGGTTTCTGATCCCAGGAAAAATCCCCCCAAGGAAATCCTAGCTCCTGCTTTGTACTGCCTCAGTCCTGGCCAGCTGCTCCTCCGCTGTAAATCAGGATTGCTGTCGATTGCCAGCAGCCCCAAGAGTCTGGGATGGCAACCGGGCATTGCAAGGAGCACGAGGGGTCTTTGGTCAGCCTTACAGCTGCATGCCGGGAAGGAGGCTGGGGTCCTGTTCCCGGAAACCACCCACCGCCCAGCGTGAGAGGCAATCCCAGTCAACTCCAATGAGGCAGCGATGCCAGCCTTTGCGGGCCCTGCCAGGGAAATGGCAGAACTGCTCAGGGTGCAGCAGGACTCGGAGGAGCCACGGGGCAGCAGCATCCAGGTGAACCTGAAACGAGCAGGTCGTCTTTTGTGGGGGCCGGATAGAAATGTGCCATTTTTAGCATCGCTCACTTGGGGAAAAGCCTGCCTCGGCTGAAATTAAAGGCCCTCGTGTCTTTACGGTGACGCTCTTTAGTTCCTGGACCAAGATTAGCCAGGCAGAGGCCAGGCACAAGAGAGTGCCTCCCAGTGGGTAGCTGTGAGGTTTTTTTATTCACTTCCCCAGAGGTAACAAAGTAGAGGATGAGTTTTTGGAACATCCAATTCATCTCTTATTAGTAGGGTAGTTTCCAGCTGAAATTAAGAAGAAGAAACAGCCGGGCTGGCAGCAGGTGCAGATAGACTAAGCTCCCCTTGAAGCAACAGATGAGTGCAGTAGGACGTGCATCGACTTTCTGTCTCTAGACTTAGTGCGTCTCAGTTCTCTGCACTGAGCGCGTCTCCCCTGTGCCCGTACATCTGGATAGTCCCCCAGCTGAAGTCAGTCTTGGCTTCATCACTTTGTAAAGTAGAATTGTGCTTTTTTCATGCATCCGTTCAGAGGTTGCTTGGAGCAGAGAGGCAGAAGTCAGACAGCAAGGTCACATTCAGAGGGGAACGCCCTGCCGTGGAGAGCTCTGTGATGCCAGCCAGTGCTTCTTCAGTGTAGGACAGTCCCCTCCTGCGGGGCATATCTCAGTCCGGTGTGTGACTGATACCTGCAAGATCCGCTCCGCTGGGTGACTAGTAGATTATGGGTTTATATCCCTCTGCCAGGCAGAACTAGGACCCCAGGTATAAATGCTCCTGACCTCAGAAATCCATATCTGAAACCCACGTCTGCAGTTTGGAGCATGCGAGTTTGACACCTGCATCAGCCCCTTAGAGAAAGAGGTTCGGTATGCATGCTCAGACTGAAGGCTGAGGCCAGAGGTTGGGATCCCAGTGTCCAATTTAAGGACATGGCTGTTTAGTAGTCTGCAGAGTCCCATTGCCTGGTGCTCCACGGAATAGTCTCTGCTGGGCTAAGCCAGGACAGCAGCGTGTGGAAGTGCCGTTGCCCACAGGGTGACCCTCGTTTCATTTGTTCAGCTGCAGGATGCCTTGAAATGTCAGCACTGCAAGAAGCAGTTCAAGTCCAAAGCTGGCCTGAATTACCACACCATGGCAGAGCACGTCAACAAGGTAAGGGTGCTTGGAGCTCTTGATCTGCTCGTCTCACTCTTTGTCTCTCTCTCTCTGGAAAGACACAGGTGAAGAAGACGAATAAACCAGCAGTTCCTGTAATTATTGTAATTTTTTTTTCACCTGGCTAATTCAGTGCTCATGCAACCAAGGGGCTCAGAGCGCTGATCTTCCAGCCTCCCACACACCGCTCTCAACATGCACATCAGCAGCGTGCCCTGCTTACCCTGCTGAGCAAAGACCTCCAGTCCTAAGCACACTCATGCAGTGAATATACACACATGCAATATGGATACCCTGGAAGCAGCAAATCCAGGGTGAGCAGAAAAGATACTAAAAGTCCCAGATTGTGGAATATTCGATGAGCCAAGGTTTTTCCAAGCGGCTAAACTCTGCTTGCAGAAACCATGGGAAATGGGTACTTGTTTGCAAGAAATAGTTCAGTAGTTATCTACTAGCCAAGGTGTACTGGTGTATGCATGTGTGAGCTGTGCACGCAAACACATCCATGCTCAACAACCTGGCAGCCGGCGACGTAGAGGCTATCCTTCCAGATCTGGTCTTGTGTGTTTTTAAGGGACCAGGACAAAACGCAACCCTGTTTGAGACACATCCTGAGTTTCCCATTTCCAATTTGCCTTTTCACTGTGAATCTGTCTCCTGGGCTCTGTTGTAATTGCTGATGTTTTTTTCATGAACTGAGTGCAGATGGATTTACACATGGTAAGGGCATGGCCACATTAGGCTTTCAATGGCCAGGGCATCTGTGCGTGCGTTAAAGCCATAGCAAATCCAGCCCTTGAGACAACCCGGTAAGAGTTTATACAGGCAGAGACTTGGTACGCCACTCCGGGCACAGAGCACATGAGTGAATGGTTGACTCTGTTGCTTCTGTTACTTCCTTGTTTCCAGCCTCTTCCCGTGGAAATCGCTGGACTGGGTGAACAGGAAGAGC